AAAAAAAGGGAAAAAAAAAAAAAAAAAAAAAAAATAGTAGAGAGAGAGAGAGAATGTTTTCTTGGTGGAAGAACAAAAAGGACAACTGTCTGAAGTTGCGCAATGCATCGTCAACCAATAACCTGTGGGCAAATTAGAGAAATACCGCTTCTAGTTCTAGAGAGAATTGGCAAGTTGGCAACTATTCCTTTAGAAAATTTGACCTAATCTATACAATACATAAACTATTTTAGTATTTCGCTCTCACCCTGGATTTTATTAGTGGTACCAGCAACAATTTTAATAATATTGTTATATTATATATCATAATTATATAATAATAATTTTATTATATTATATTACATTTTATAGATTATATTGATAGATAAAATATTAGTATTATATATAGCATAAGGGTAAGCTTTCCATTCTAGAGAATTCTATTTTCATTCCATTTTCATTCCTATTCTTATTCTCATTCCTATTATCATTCCCTCACTGTAACTAAATACACCCTAATAGTTATGGATGGTATGAGGACGCATGGGTGCAAACACGACACTCATTTAAAAAGGTGGGGAATGAACTATAGAATTAATAAATACATTTACGCAACGTGTAAGCACTGGTCTAAATTAATTACGGCACTAATTATAGATGAGTAAGGCACTGGTCTATGATGATTTATGATTAAAGACACCAATTATAGATGAGTAAGGCACTAGTCTAATGATTAAAAAGAAAAATGACAAGTCTTTGAGTATTATGAAAATGATATGCAAATAATTATGATATTGGTGATTTCTAAATATCGAGGATGCATTAAAAAATATAGTAATGATATATTAAACGAATGACAATCAAACTATAAGCATTGGAAAGTTATATCAATAAGCATATTATATATATAGATAACGTAAGAAAGGCAAGACATCAAAGAGGCATAACATTTAACATAGATAACTGACGAGTATTTGAATATTAACAATCTTGGATGTTGTAAAAAAATATATAAATAATGAACAAAAATGAATATTGACAGACATAAAAATGTAAATGCAAGTAAACGGGAAAAATGAATTATCATAATAAGTATATATACATATATTTAAGAATTTATATTTTATTAAAGGACAAATTATACTTTTTCCTTTTCAATTATTGACCTTGTAATAAAATGCTCTCTAAATTTTAAAAATAATAAATTTTTTTTTGAATAATTAATCGTTAGCATGTATTTTTTTTTTATTTTCTCAGTCAAATTTTAAACATTAAGTACTATGTAAACACTAAAACATTTAATTTTATTATGTTATAAAATGATAATTTTACCAATATACTCATCCCCTTCTTACATTCTCTTTTATTTCACGGTCATTTCTGAATTTTGCCCTGTTCATCAAAAACCTCCATGAAATTCACAAACTTTCACACAGAAAATCCACCAAAAACGCCGACGAGCAACAATCCGGCCAAGATCGAGCCTTTGACAGTGGTGTCGCCCTCCAATCCGGCTTCGCCGCCGCCATTGTTGTCGTTGCCGTCGTCGGCCTTGGGGCTAGTGAAGAGCCACTTGAAGCTCTTCGGCGGAGGAGCGTTGGGAGTGGCGGTGGTCTTCTGAAGAGTCTTCTGTTTCTTTGTCTGGTTGAGAGAGGAGCAAGGAGTGAGAAAGGGGAAGCGCTGGTGAGGTTTGAAGCTGAAGAGGAAGGAGGAAGAAGGAGAAGGAGTGACGATTATAATTTTACACATACCCACACAAGGCTGTTTGAAAGATTCTACACCATTTCTTTCCTTTACTTTTATTTAGCCAAAAAGAAAAAAAAATAAAAAAACAAACAAAAACCAAAATGAAAAAGAAAGAAACATTCACACAAACACTGACAAGAACATAATATGCTCACACATAGCTCTACAAGGTCAAATGTTTAATGGGAATGGCAGAGGACTTTGAAAGAGATATGACGAGCTCGAGCAAATAACATAAAATGGCAGGTGAAACTTGTCCGCTGCAATCACCGCCGGCAATCGAAAACACCACATTCAAAAGAAATTTACTGCTGCACGCAACAAAACGTCAAAAGAGCATGGCCACCATCCGACAAACATATTAGAGACAACAACCTAAACAAACGACGTCTCACTTCAAAAGCGTGTCAGATCCACTCCAATAAAAGTATCACTTTACACACCGCCACTACCACGTAGAAGACGACATCGAGACGAATTTAGGGACCAAGTTTCTGGGTTGAACGGTAACGCGCCCGGAGACGGTTTTAAAATTCTAGCCAACTCACTCTCTCATTTTCTCTTTTCCTCGTTTCTCTTTATGGCCGGCTCCGATAATGACAGAAATTTTAGATAACGAGAAAGTGACATTTACCATATCCCGGCTCAAACTTGGTACTCAAAAAAGAAGGGAAAAAAAAATAGTCGATTTTTTTTTTTTTTTTCAATCTGTTAAGAACAAAAATGAATCTAAAACCACTCTTTAACTCGCACCCCACATAGCCAAATCGGAAAATTTCAAACCAAAAAAATTCTCCAATCCAAACAACCAAGCAAATTTAGATCAATCCCACCAATTTCCCTACCCAGAAAACAAAAATCCCAACTGTAATTGAACACTTTTCTTTTCTTTCTACCCCTTAAAACTTTTTAACCCATCAACAAAAAGATTAGAAAATTCGACAGTGAACAACACAGAAAAGACCAAAATCACTTATGCGCATCAAAGAAAGACATACGAAAATAGTCATTGTGCCATTAGAATTGCTTTAGTATGCAAATGACCTTCAAAGCTTCACCCCTTTTCGTTACATTTTTTAAGATTTCTTCAACCAAAAAAACCTCCAAATGTTTTCAGTTTATTACCAAAATTTTCACCATTTTCGAATGCTAACCTAGAAGAAAGGTGCATTTTACGTTAATACCCTTCGTTTTGGGTTATGAGCCACTCATGCAGTTATTTCGAACAACTAAAGCCACATAAAGAAAAAATTTGTTAACGGAATAACAATCGGGAGAATAAATGTTATGAATAAAAGTTGGGAAGGTAAAGTGTTAAAAAAGTTTGAGAGGATTTTTTTAATTAATCCTTGTGATTAAGGATCAAATCCTCCAAGTTTTTCATGAGAAAAAAAAAGCAGAAAAAAGATACTTGAGTTCTATCAAGAATTGACAATGAAATAAACGACTATATGCAAATATAAAAAGAAAGAATTTTAATTATAAATCAGTAAATGATAGTAAATGATTTAGGATTTTTTTTTTCCTTTTCTTCTTGGTTTTATCAATACATGTTCATTCACTGTATATGAACTATATTAGAATCGATATTATCAAAAACATCAACTTTCTTCGCCTGCGACAACCGACGTTATTGCAATTTTACAGATCCTTGAGATCTATTATATTTATTTTGCTTGCAACGCGGGAAAGTTGGATATAAAGCAAAATTTTACTTATCTTGTCGAAATATCAGTGAAAAAATTTAGAATATTTTACAAATAGAAAAAATTGAAAATATTAAAATA